GTTGGGCAGGAGGCTGGCAACCCCATCCTGTAAAAATAAACACCACTGCTACAGAAACTTCAAGCCACTAGCTTGGAGCCCTAAGTTCCATTAGGAACGTGAAGGAAATAAAAAAACTGTCTCCTACCCATACTTATCCAGCATATTATTATTTTTTTATTTTATTCCATTACATTCCCTGTGGAACATACGGCTTCAAGGCAGAGGCTTGAAGTTTCGGTAGCATTGGTGTTTATTTTTACGGGATGGGGTTGCTAGCCTCATACCCAACCTTGCCTCTTTAACAGTCTTATTACTGGCTTAGCGAGGTGAAGGAGTGCGTCTGTCTGGGATCGAATCCCAGGCCACATGTGTGGTCGGCGAACATTCTACCGCTGTGCCACCGACGCACTTATCCAGTATAATACTATTCCATTTCTTTTCTCTTGTTTTCGTGTTTCATTTTTTCAAGTTGTGATACTTTTCTGCACTATTTTTCTTTGATAAGTCAGTTAGTCACTTATAAACTGTTTGGTTCAAGTGTACAACTTTTCAGGAATGAGAATCAAGGCCGAGTACAAAAGATCAAGTTCTGTGGTTATTTAGCACCAGCTGGTAGATAGAGAATATCAAACTTCCACCCAACTAATAATAAAACACAATCACCATTTAAATAACTAACTGTAGCGCATCAGTCAACGAAGATTCGACTGGTACTGAGAAGCACAAAATCTATTTGGATTGTCCAGCTTCTAAGAGTTTTAAACTGTTCCGTAAAATTATCTCCTCCCTAATTAATCGATTTCTTTAATTGAGTAACGAATATTTTATGTTTACTCATAATTTCACAACAAAGAAGTCTTTTAAGGCGAAAATATACAAACTAACAAACAAACGGAAAGACACTTTGCTCACATGATTTATTTACAACAAAATAGTTTTTTATAAACACACAGAAGTCACTGAGTAGTCATAATCACTTGTTTATTTCAATATTTGTCAGTTAAGATAAATCAAGATTAGGAAAAGAAGTAAACAATCTTTAACTTAGGTCAATTTACTTCTAAAATTTTCAGTGTTTTTGTTTATTAAAGCTAATCTCCAATTTAAGGAATCCCAACACTAATGACAGATGAAAATTGCTTTTTTGAATTAAATAGTGACAAAACTTGGCAGTGATTTGAAGATAATCTTGTGTCAAATCCCTTGTCAGTTAGAAGAAAGCGAATCCATTGACAGATTATGTAACAAAATAGAATGTTATGTTTATTGAATAGATTAACACTTGGTTGGAGAATTTATGATAGAACACTTCAAGGAACTAATAGATTACGGAGTGCATGGTTAGAGGTAAAGATTTCAGCATAATTTCCTTCATAAAATCAAAGTACGCTACAGAGTTTTGTTGACTTTCTTTCGGTGTCATTTATGGTATCAAGCGAATTATATGTTGTGGTATGAAAGAAAAGACATCAAGCTTCAACTCTCACTAACTCGCCGAAACACAGGTAAGCATCAACAGATGACCTAGGGCTACTGCGTAGACAGTAAAAAATGTCTTATTTCGTATTTGCACATCATAGAGAAGGTTGCAAAAAGAGAAGCAACAAAACAAAATTCATGCAATCAAAGATTGCGGAATTCTTGAAGACATACAGCAAAATAGATAATGCAAGTAGAGATATTTTGATGTAGTTGTGTTCTCTCAGCTGGATGGTTTATTTGCGAAGCTTTCATTGCCTTATTAGGCAACATCTTCAGCGCATACCTCGATTTGAAGTGAACTTGTAGACTTCTCCTTGAGCTTATAAGTCATCTCTCCTGGTGACGCTGAACGTGACTGGTTGTTTTTGTGTGTTTTCACACCATCTAGGCTACTTGTATCGGTACTGATTGTTTCCTTGGTCTGAAGTTTAAACCTTTGTGTATGAGGTTTCCTTCTTATCGATTGGTAAACTTTTTTTTATGTCGGTGTGTCTATTAGTTGACGATTCACTGGAATACCAAGCTTCTAAAAATTATCTGGCATTCTTGGTGTTTCCTTTGACTAATATTTGAACGCTGTCCCAGTCGAATTGATGTTCATAGTTGTCTGTTAGTAGTGATATGAGGGAATGAATATCATTGTATTTTGAGGGCAAGTTTATTTATGTTCACGGATACGAAGACGAAAAGGACGTCCACTTTGGCCAATGTTGTTTTTTCGCAGTCATTGCAACTTATTTTGTAGATGATGTTGGTTTTATCTTCTTTCGCTGTTGAATCTTTTGGTTGACACAGAGCTGAGTGAAGTGATTTTTTTGGTCTATGTACGACATTAATTTTTGAAGATTAGAAGAGTATTGCAGTGATTTCTGAAATGTACTTTATATATGGTAGGGCGATTTTCTTTGTGCTTTCTTGGTTTGATAGGTTGGCTTCGGGGTATATGTCTTTTGATGACGTTCCGTGGATATCCATTCTTTTGGAAAACTTCCATGAGATATTTCTCTTCCATTTTTCTTAAGGAAAGCTCATTTCAGATTGAAGTATGCGCTGAAGATGTTGTCTAGTAGGTCAATGAAAGCTTCGCAAATAAACTATCCAGCTTAGAGAACACAACTACATCAGAATCATCCACCCGAGCTACAAATCTTCTCTATTATATCTGGATATGAACATGCCTGAGCTACAGTAATCGACTCTGTTCTGCATAACTAAGACTATCTAATCACCACTAACGGTTGTTTCTCCACTGCTAGCCAAATAATCTAAACACTACCCATAGGACTAACATTAAGATCCAACCTATGTTTGGCTACTCTTTGAATTCTTTTAGGTTGGCTAATGCTAACTAATTCTCCATCTTCTTAATGCCTATATTGCAGCAGGTTTTGTGTTTTAAATTTTAAAAATAGTTTTAAAAAAATGATTCTCCAAGTTAGTTGTTTCATTTCTGTAGAATTCCGATAGCTCATTTGATTTTGAAGTAAGCGCTGAAGACATTGTCCAGAAGGACATTGAAAGCTTAGCGATTCAACCGACCAGATCAGAGAACATAAAGACACCAGAAAAAAATCCGCTAGACCTACAAATCTTCTGCATTATTTTAAAAAGCATAACACAAGTATTTCTCTCTTGAAAATCTCCTACATTTTACAAATACTCATCTAATATATCTACTTTGCCAATTTGTTGTAGTTTATTTATCTTACATGGCGCTAATAGTATTGTCTTTGTTTTCGTGGTTAATTCGATTGTTTAATTTTGTTGTGGGATGCTGTGAACTGACATGAGACACAGTTTTATTCCATGTTCTATGTGTCAATACCTCTTTGACTAATCAATTTCTACATCTTGACTTATAGATACTATTATGAATTTGAAGAATGTAAACACATGTAATTTTCAAGTATTGGTTTTGTAGGGATGTTTTTGTGTTTGATTGAATGGAGGATTTCATCATGAGCTGACATCAGTTAGAGAACCACTGGAAAACCTGGGAATTGGCGGGAGTTAGAATTGGATTGGGTCTCAGTGGCTCAATGGTCTACGAGCTCGCTGGCCTTCTAACCGGAAAGTCCTGGGTTCGAACCCAAGCGGTGAGTGCGTACTGTGAAGAGTCCCAAACTAGAATGGAACAGCTGTCCAGTACTCCCGGGTTTTCCAGTGGTTCTCTCACTGATGTCAGCTCATGATGAAATCCTCCATCCAATCAAACATATAGTTTTCATTTATGCCCTGTGATTACGCAATAAAAAATATGTCCTCACTTTCATTTTTTGCAGTGCCGCTTAATGGCTTCCGGTAATAAGTATAATTCCATTTCGCTACTCTATAACTTCATTCCACCTAACTTTCTTTTAGAGTAGATTTGAATATTTTACTTTCAGTGCCTGTTAGCAATAGACTTAATCTGACAACAGTTAGAAACACACAAGGCATCTCCAAGTACAAAGAACAAATTGAACTTATTGCTTGTTATGCTTATATCTCCTAAAGTGTATCCAACTAGTACAGTACACTACTCCACAGTACTGTTTACTGATTAGGTTGTGAGCGCCACTCATAGCTCATAATTTTATGAAAAATTATTTTACTATGAAATTACCCTGCGCTACACTATGGCTGTGAGACCTGGCCATTGAGAGTGGAAGACATGAAAAGACTGGCTAGCTGTCTTTGATCATAGGTGCCTGCGCTCTATCTCCCGTGTGGAGTGGCATAATAGGGTGAGCAATATTGAGGTTAGGCATCGGTCGAGTTCTAGGTAAGGAGGGGAAATCAATCGACGAGGCTGTGAAATTACATCGACTGAGATGGTTAGGACATGTGTTACGTAAGCCTAGTCATCGCCTTCCTCGACGGACAATGTTAACTGACATAGAGTCAGACTGGAAAAGAGCTGGAGGCGGTCAAACCAAAACATGACTTCATCAGTCAATGAAATCCACAACACTTAGTTTAAGCCGGCCACATAGGAAGGTGTAGACTAGCTGGCTGGTTGGAGTCCTCGGAACGATAAAAACCAATGGTTGGAAACAATTGGTGATATGGTTCAAAATCGTTCTCAATGGCTGGCGCAAATGCATCCACTCCTTGTGACTTATGATTTCCAATGAAACTGTTTTGTTCTTCGTTATTACTATTCCTTTGTCTCACACCTCTGTTTACTGTCTCTATTGTGCATTTCTTCTACTTTCTTGTCTTGCTTTGTGTGATACAAGGAGGGAGTATGGCGACTTGAACTGGGGCACATCGGTGCAAAGTTCTATGTCGAAAACAGACAGACAGACACTGCACCATACTAAATTGCTTTGATTCTTCCAACAATTGAATCAAATGACTCAAATGACGCTACTACTAACTAGGCTGGGAAAAAGTATATTTCAGTACTCTGTAAACGAAATGGACTATTATCGTCTCCTCTACTATCCTGAAGCGAAAGGAAACAACGACAACAACAGGTGTTTAGATCACGAAGACAAGTGTAAGAAAATGCACATATCAATAACAATTTACAAAAAGAAATAGAAATTTACCGGCTGACTGAATAAACACCATCACGCATCAGACCGTTAACTGTCCGTGAACCGGTTCTAGTATAATCACCCTACAAATAAAAGCACAATACAAAAAATTTGCCTCAGGCAATTAGATACAGACAGAGTATTTCATCTTCTTGTGTAATCAAGTGATTAAACACTATTCAACATTTTCATAAAACAATTTTTTATAAGACGTTATCACGAGCTAATGTCAGCTAACAAACCAATGGAAACAAAAAGCATCTAACAGTAGATTATCAAACTAAGACTGGTAAACAGTGATAACCGTTAGTGGCGAATTTTACCTTGTAATCTGAACAACATTTGTGTAAGTTAATTAAGATTACCTGTTGACTGATTTATATAGGACCGAAATCCTCTGTCTCTATTAACATGTTGCCTCCTCGAACAGAGGTGTCAACGATGTTTGATGGTTAACATGAGGTCATCATTTGAATCCCACCGCTAAACATTACCAACCAAATGAAGTTTGAACAACAACTAAATAAACTTATGCTAAATAAAAAACTCTACATACCATATGCTATTCTCGTGAAATGCAAATGAAATACACCTTATTACGCATTCAAGTGATTCCGTTTAGCCTAGACGGTTAGATTCAATCGTGTTGTTGAAGTTCTGTATGACAATACTTAATAGTAATCAAAAGAGTTAACTTAATTATGGATGTATTACTTTATTGAAAGAATATCCATGTTTTCCTAGCACTTAGGAATCTATTTCTTAATTTATGGTGTACAACTATGCTCAGAACATCACATCGATAGATCAGAATTTTCAGGTAAGCATCATACTATGTGTGAAAGATGAACACATACATGGTAACCTGCTGAAATAACTAAATTGTCTGTATTTCTATCACTTATAATGCATAAATTTTCCTTCATTTTTAATTGCTTTAGTTCATTAATTACGTTCTTGGATTGCAGCATGTACCCAAAAACATTTTCAATTAGCCTTCAACCAACAAAATGAAACAAAATTATTCTAGCTGATTAGTTTATACTTCAGAAAGAATAACGTTGTATCATGCAACACCCTGTCGATACACTTCTACCTTGGTTGCAGGATTTTATCATGAACTGATGGTTGATTAGAGAACCAGTGGAAAATCTAGAAGTACTCGACATCTGTTTCGTCACTCTAGTTTCAGCGAGGCCTTATACCACTAAGCCACTGGGACCCTCGCCCGTAACCGGGAGATCCTGGGCCTGAACTCCGGTGGGTGCGTACTGATGAAGAGCCCAGAATTAGACTGACAAAAGAGATGTCCGTTACCCCCCACCTCACACACACAGGTTATCCAATGGTTCTCTAACCGAAGTCAATTCATGATGTAATCCTGTAACCAATCAAATCAAATCCCTGAGAACCAACAACTGAACACTGCTACTTTACTTGAAGATCCTGTATGAAAAGTAAATATTATGTTATAAAATACACTGAGAATTCTACACATGTTATCGGAAGTAAAGCTGTTATTTGTGTTGTTAATATTCAAACAACTACAATTTATATTGATATCACTAAGACGAAAAAATGTCAATGCCTGTCTATATACTATCTCCTTTTATTTGACGGTTTATACATTTGGGCATAACACAGAGAACCAATTCAATTAGACTTTATATTTCATACTCATACTGAAATTACAACTAGTCAGGAAAGATTATTTCGTTGAAGTCAATTTCGCTTTTTTCTTCTGACTGACGGAACCAAAACTGTCCAACTTCGATTGACATGTTGGCTCCTAGTACAGATGCTTCAATGACACATCAGGATTAACAATGATGCTATTCGATGGATAATATTTGAATTCGCATATTTTATCAGCAGGAACAGTGCAATCCGATAATAATAATAATAACAATAATAAAATAACATTTTCTGTAGTTTGGTTTGTAAGGGTTAGATATGTTTTTGCGAGTTGATCACGGATTGATATCAGTTAGAGAACCATTGAAAACAAACAGGGAGTACTGGACAGCCAGCTGTTTCATCCTAGTTTGGGAATCATTCGCAGTACTCACCCACTACCAGGGTTCGAACCCGGCACCTTCCGGGTACAAGGCCAGCGAGCTCGTATACCATTCAGCCACTGGGACCCGATTCAATGGCCAACCCATGAATTCTAACTTCTACCAATTCGTGATTTAGCGTGACCCCTACCATTGTCGTTGGTAGGACATCCATCCACACGCGTGACATCTAATTGAACCTCCTCGCTGGTCACGACTTCTCACTAGAACTCCAGGAAACTCCATCGTGAATTGGTATACGAGCTCACTGACCTTGTAACCGGAATGTCGTGGGTTCGAACCCTGGTAGTAGTGGGTGCGTACCGCCAATGATTCCGAAACTAGGATGAAACAACTGGCTGTCCAGTACTCCCTGTTTGTTTTCAATGATTCTCTAACTGATATCAATCGGTGATCAACTCGTAGATTAAATAACATTTCCCTTTTCAAGCGATATATATATATATATATATATATATATATATATATATATATATATATATATGAATAGTATGCGTCGTTTTTTCAATATTTCAAAGTTTAAGTCACATGTATGAGTATATTCGTATGAGTATATATGTACATGGATTTAATTAACAGCACTTTCACAGGCCGAAAGAATAGACAAACAAACAAACAAAGAAGAGCACACACACACATACACACCTTAAGGGTAAAATTCTTTATAAAAATATTACTATTTAAGTAGACTGTAATTAATGTAAAGATCTCAAAGGAAAAGAAAATAAGAAGATTAAACATATTCACATGCTACTAAAGAAAGAAAACTAATAAGATAATGATAATGGAAAAGAGGAAAACGTGAAAAGACAAACGGACCCATCGTTGAGAGATAGACAGAGGGAGAGGGAGAGGGAGAGAAAGAGGAGGGGAACAAATAGGAAATGGAAATTTTGATAACAGCCATAATAAAAATAACAACAATGAAAAGCTTAAACAAATTCTAAAATGTATGTAATAATAACTCACTCACTTTCATTGCACCTGTGCCTGCATATATTTGACTGATAGCATCACCATTTGTCGCCCACATATGCTGAATTGCACGTAAAAATTCAGTGGGTAAACATTCCTCAGGGCCTAATAAACCAATTTTTTTCAACTGTTGTATACATTCGTATATATATTTTTTGTGGAATGAATAAAGGAAAGAAAACAGGAAACACAGAATCAAACAGTCAGTAAAACTATACGTGGGAGATCCTGAAGGAAGTACACTTATTTTTGAACAAATATTAAGTATAATGATAACAGCAATATATATATATATATATATATTCCTACACGTTCCCTGGTGGAACATAGAGCCTCAAGTTAGTGACTTGAAGTTTCTGTAGCAGTGGTGTTTATTTTACAGGATGGGGTTGCTAGCCTCATGCCCAACCTTTCCTCTTTACCAGCATTATTTCTGGCTTAGCGAGGTAAAGGAGTTCGTCAGTGGCCGGGAATCGAACTTCGGACCATATGCATGCTCGGTAAGCGTCCTAACCGCTATGCCACCGACGCATTACAACAATAACTCAGAAATAATTATTCATTCTGACATACATTCAAATATAAAAGAAGGTATAAATACTGAACTTTAACGCTTCATTTATTATTTATTGTGCTGTGTGCTAATGATAAGGTTTATCAGCAGCAAACATATGAAGAGACATAATTCGGCAGAAAATTATCAGATGGCAGGCAGGTAAATTTGATATCGGAGAAGGCAAATGATACATGAGAGACGTGAAAGGAACACAAAGAAACACACACACACACATACACAATACGAAGGCGAGAAGTGGGACAACACGGAAGATCTGTGCAAATGGTGATTTGAGGATAAGGTGTACATAATTTGGCTACCAAGTCTTTTGTCTTCTAGCGTCACATTATTCCTCAAAGTTCCAAGATGAACATAGAGTTAGGACAGCACATCTCCATGTTATCATGTTCTCTTTTCACCTGACTCCACATGATGGCACATAAAGCTGTCATCTCGTCTTCATCCAACTCTTTCATGTCACCCTCGGATGTCCAGCTCGTTACTTCCTATTTCAGGTTCTACTCGACGGCTTGCTCTTTCCATCCTGTCTTTGACATTCCAATCTGTAATGCCCGTAGTTGAAACGATACTGACATAAAAGGTTATTGAAAGCAATGATCTCCTTCAGATTTATTCCACTGACAGTTATTAGTGCGTGTTGTTGTTGTTGTCGATTGGTGGGTATCTTCATCATCCTGTCCTCTCTATACCCACTTGAAGTCCTATCTTCAGTGCATGCTCTCTCTGCCAATTTCTTGGTTTTCACCTCTAGATCTTAGAGTTTGTGTGACATTAAACATAAATCATCCACGAAATCCAGTTCTTCTAGCGTCTTCTTATAGGTGAACTTATTTCTCCTTTCTCACTCCTCACAATCTGTTGTATGATCCAATCCACCATAACTAGGAATATTGTCGGTGATAGTAAGCAGCCTTGTCTTTATCATGTCTTCACTACAAATGCTTCACTGAGTTTTCAGTTGTGAATCATTTGGTATATGAAATCGTCATTTAGCTGCAGAAACCCAGAAAGGCAACAGGACTAGCAGGACCCTCCTGAAGCACTAAAAACGCACCTGAGGCAACAATAATAGTGTTTCACAAAACTCTCTCTCTCTGTCTATGCATATATATATATATATATATATATATATATAGCTACATATAAGGACATACATAAATAGTATATAGCATGATACGTTCTAAAAGTTCAGTTACAACTCTAATATAATTATAAAGCTATTGATATAAACTATGAGACAGAGGGATTCTAGTTCTGTAGACAAAAAAAATATGAGGTGGGAGACGAAGACTGACGTTTCCCTATTAAAGAATGGTTAGTCTTATTCGTAAATAATGAATTAAATACAAGGTTTATTGTATTTTGCCATTATCCTCACCGACCTTATTCCCTACATGTGTCAAGGATAAATTTCAGTGATCTTTAGACCATGAAACAAAATTAAGGCTTATCATTGTCTGTGAACATTCCATCCTTACAGACCTACTACTAGCAGTATCATTTTGCTAGACTAATCAAATACATTGCGAATGATGCGTCCGAATTCTAGTTCACGCATCAATCTGTCAGATAGCATCAGCCACACACACACATACACACACATACAAATATGCTCAACGTTGTGAAGCATATTTCAGATGAAAACAGCAATTACTATTAGTTAATTAATACATTTATATAAATACAAAATAAACTAACCTGAGTCGTAATCATAACAACAGCAAACATACACTGAACTAAATTTGTACGATCTAAACAATCTAAACAGTTCACATGAAATATCCACTTTTGTTCGCATATCATACCATTACGAGTAAGCCTAGGTAAACCAGTGATGATAACAATAAATTGAGAAAGTTACTGTTGAGGACAATAAAATGCTGCATAATACAATAGAATACATTCAACTTAGTAAAACGTCAAAATAACTAAAAACAAACGCTGAATAAGAAGAATAGAATGTATTTATCATTGTATTACGTTAGTACTGATAGTTAATTTACTCTCTCTCTCTTTATATATATATATATATATATATATATATATCATTTGCCTCAACTAGACTTTAAGGATGGTAATTTTGTGAAAAGGAAGGTAAATAAATGCTATTGCCATACAGAAGTAAATATGTTAACTTTTACATACTTTGTTGACCCACTGACTGAGTTACAGCGTATACCTTTGCACAGAAGAAGTACAGCAGTTCAAGTTGCCGCATTTCATTAAGCAAACACAAGTAGAAAAAAACAACTTCAAAATACCTCTTGCTTCTGTCTGACAAAGTCGAGTGAGTTTATTGATAAGCTTCCTTATAGGAAGACCATATGTATTATTGATATAAGTATAAAACTTGGGCACTGTGGTAGAGTATAATTCCATTATAGATAAGATTTTATTTGATAAATCGCACAGTGTTTACAGTTATATCAGTTATCAGTTCATATAACTGTAAACACTGTGCGATTTATCAAAATAAAATCTTATCTATAATGGAATTATACTCTACCATAGTGCCCAAGTTTTATACTTATATCAACTTCAAAATAACTATAATTGGCAGAAATCCATATGGAAGAGAATATAGTAAAATTGAAAAACATTAGAATTTATTAGATATGAGGAATTATAAAGAGTAAATACATTTACGCCAGTGAGAATTGTTCTGAATCCTATCACCAGCATGCCGAAAACGTTCGCCAGACAGTCTGTAATACCCTACGCGGCTTAAACTAACAGTGAAAAATCTCATGGTATAAAAATAAAACTTATGCACTGTCGTAGAGTATAATTCCATTACGGGTAAATTTTTGTTTTGATAAAGTCTCACAGTGTTATACAGTAATGTTTACCGATGACGTTTCAAGCACAATTTATTGCTCATAATCATATCAAGGATATGATTATGAGCAATAAATTGTGAGACTTTATCAAAACAAATTTTACATATAATGAAAAAATCTCATGGATTGACTCCGGGTTATATTTTTTATTTTTTAATTTTTGCTTACAGCTTGAATCCACACTGTATATTTGGTACAAGTATGGAATTTTCAGCATGTGATATCGGTAGCTCAAATTTTGCAGGCCGACCACTGATATCGGGTGTGTGTCGGCAGGGGATCGAACCTCGGACCATGTGCATGATCGGCGAGAGTCCTAACCCCTGTGCCATCGACGCACCATTTCCAGTTCTTTTCTGACAAAATCTTACTTCAGCGAACACTGGTCGTCGAAGAAGGCGGTGGATCAGCTACACCTAAGGTGAAATTAAGACGTGATAACGAATGAGCCTCGTAAGTCAACTGATAAAGTACCAGATTGAAAAACAAGAAACTACAGGGTCCAATACCGTATTAACTCAAGTTTTCTTTTGAATTTCAATAATCACCTACAATATTAAATGCATCCATAAAAGAAGAAGAGTTTGATACAATAATTTGAACAATTTCTAGGAAACTTTAGCTCAAGAGAATCAAATTGTTTTAAAAGTTCAGTTCCTGAACATCTATTAGAAGTTAGAAGTTAGCATGTAAATACTTTGAAGTCATTCTACATAATTCTTCTTCTTGGATTTCCTGAGTTTATAGCAATTGAAATCAAAAACCGACTTCAATTTATTCAAAAACAATTCGTCGTTAGCTTTCATCCAATTTGTAATTTCAATTCATTAACATAAAAAGGCTTTTAATAGATTTCCAATTTAAAAAGTAGTCCTTAGTTTGAATCCTCTGAGTTTTCTGTATTTTCTGATTGTTAATAAGCCACTTAGTTATCTATGGCAGTCTATCTGACAGCATTATTCGTTTAAATCATATCAAATAATTTGCATTTTATGAAAAGCTTCGACTTATGATGATGATGCATACTTGTGATACGACGATGTAAATTATCAATGATGCTCTAACCTGCATATTTTCACTTTAATGTAACATTGTATTGTTGACCTGTCAACTGCAATCCAAAGAAGAAGTACACTATCTAGGAATCCTATCACATAATTTCATTTTTTGAAATTATATATATACCCAGTGAGTGAGATTCTGTGAAATAAAACAAGTTCAAGCATGTTACCCTACTTCAATGACGATTGCTGATCTTTCTGAAATACTGATAGTAATAAAAGTTAAAACAATTAGTCCCTTTGATAAATTTGAATAAGGCATTAAGAAGACAAATTTCGCGAGATAATATCATTTCGTAGTTTCTTTACAACCGCTTTACAACTAACATGGCTAACAATAATAAATTAAAGATCATCAGTTGAATAAAAAAAAAGTACATACTAATGACCAATCATATTTAGATAAGTCATGTAGTCCAGGGTAGGTGAAGATTGAAGGAAGACCACATCTTGAAAAGGCAGCTCCTGTACCAAATAAAGCTATCTTTATTAACCTACTATTCAAGGGCGACCAGATTATGCACTTGACAGCCATCTGAAAGACTTCGGTCGGCCATCAAACACACATTCTACGCCGCCTCATCTATTTTTCTCACTTGCCGAACATTTTCGATCCCTGTACCTACGATTAAAGGATGAAATTCTGTGGACTCTACTTCAAACTGTATCTACAAGTTCACCTGCAGCTGTGGTGACACCTATATAGGTAGAACTAACAGAGTGTTCCAATGTCGTCGAAAAGAACATGTTCCAAAATGGCTAGTAAATCATATCGAAAATCCAAACGCGATTAATCTTAGTAGAAATCCAGCATCATCCATTGAAAACACTTATCAATGTCTGGTCACAAAATCAATATTAATGACTGTTTCACAATTATTTCACATAACTCTATTTCAAGGTTATTGAAGGTGATGGAGGCACTTTGGATTGATCACATACAGCCTAAATTGTGTGTACAAAAGTCAATAGACTTTAATCTTCGCCTACCTTGCACTACATGACCTATCTAAATATGATTGGTCATTAGTATGTAGAAATATATATGAAATTAATAAAGAGGTAAGAGGTGAGAAAATATATATTTCTATGACAAGTCCGTGTATGATCAGATTGTTCGAAATGTGTTGCGCAAATACATTATGTCCTTTTAACTTGACCTAAGTCTATTTTTCTCACATTAGTATGTAGCTGGACGAGTCCCAAATAGAACGAAATGCGCATCCTGGATTCCACTGCTAGCCACCATCCACCAATAGTATGTACTTTTGTTTTTTTTATTTAACTGAGTAGTTTTCATGAACTTTATTTTATCATTGTTAACCATGTTAGTTGTAAAGCGGTTGTAAAGAAACTACGAAATGATGATATCATCTCGCGAAATTTGTCTTCTCAATGTCTTATTCAAATTTACCAAAGGGACTAATTGTTTTAATTTTCTCTATTCTTTTAGTTAAAAATGATACAAAGCATACGAGATCAATGAATATCCTTTTAAAATCAATCACAGTAAAAATTAGTTTGTTTATACGACAATAACAGTTATATAATCTAAAAATAAACAAAATAAGTAAGGCCATATTAACAGACAAAAGTGTAACAGAAATAAATAAGATAGGAGGTCACAGTCATCCTAATCAGTTTGTGACATTCAATCAAAAACATTCTAGAATGAATTTTAATTCATTTTATTTACTGCGCCGAAGACCTTGAACGGTGTGCGTCAGTTTTAAAGTGTCAATATCAAATGGAAATAACTTGATTTAATTCAATAATGAAATCATTTCTTTTTTTATATTTTATAAAGGACATGTAAGATCATTATTTCCAAATTGATAAACCATTGAATAAAATTTATCAAGAATGTGTATGTGGCAATACTAAGTGGGATTTTACCACCATAGAGAATCATTCGAATTAACGAAGGGATAAGGATTCAATTGATCTCACGGTGTTTTTCCTCGCATAGTATTTAAGCAAACGACGCAACAGATATTCCAGATGTATAAAAAATACGACAAAAGATCTTCAAAGCGAGGGGGTAAACATACACGCTTTTCTTCCTTTTATTTCCACCTTCCTGATAGGGTGGAACAAAGGTGGTCAGTTACAGTCTGAATTTTTTACGGTAGTCGGTGTCGCTCACCGGCCTACATGATTTTGTACTGCGTGCTTAAAGGAATGCTGTAGTCAATTATGATGTTACATTTGACTGTTTTTTTTCTTCCTTCACGTTCCCCAGTGGAACATAGAGCCTCAAGTTAGTGACTTGAAGTTTCTGTAGCAGTGGTGTTTATTTTACAGGATGGGGTTGCTAGCCTCAACAGGCCCAGCAACACCACCAGCATTATTTCTGGCTCAGTGAGGTAAAGAAGTGTGTCGGTGGCCGGGGATCGAACCCCGGACCATGTGTATGGTCGGCGAGCGTCCTAACCGCTATGCCACCGACGCACACTTTGACTGTTTTATTGACTTTTTATGCATCCACACTTCTGAAGTTTCAGTGCACTATAGATCACTGAACAAAGAGAGGTTTAGAAGTACTTGAGTTAGGAGTCGAACCTGGATCACGTGGGTGATTAGTGAGCATTCTACGATGCTGATTCTCTAACTGATTTCAGCTCATGATGAAATCCTCCGAGCATTCTACGATTAAACCCCCGACGAAATTAAACTTCCACCTCCGATGCTATGATATGAATACTACGAAATATTTTCACCATTTTTAAAGGTTCTCTTTACTACTATTATTATAAATACGGTTACCACTGTGACGTGTGCTACATATTGGTGTCTTCTGCAAGAATCTTTAATCGAGGGGAAAAGAGGAGATATGAAGATAACAGTGATGCCATATAGACAGCATGAAATGAAGAGAAAAGAAGCATAATACGAAGACGTTTTGAAAATTCGATTGA